GTGGTTTTACTCATGGAAATCCTGAATCCACGTGGATACTCTTTCCAGAGACAGATGGAGTTTCCTTTCAGAAAAATCTTGGCACCAATTTCTTCAGAACAATAACAAGTTACAGGCAGGACCTGAGGAGGTTCTGTGAAATTGGTAACGGGTACTGTGGTTCAGAAGTTGGCTAGCAAAGGGGAGGTGTTCCTGGTAACTTGTCCCTGTTCAACAGACTAGATGGCTCTGTTTCTGAGGGATTTCAAAGGGGAAAATCTCCTTTAAAGCAAACCTTCCTTGAAGAGAATTACTTTATTGACATGTAGGCATCCCTATCCCAGAGGTTTATAAGAACTATAGGTGTCTAAGGTAAGGCAGTGTGATAGACAGTAACAAAAAAAATCACCAAACAGCTCCAAAAAAAGGGAATACAGCTGGCCCTCCATATCTGTGGTCCTGCATTAATGGATTCAACCAACCACAGATCAAAAATCTGCCCTCCAAATTGTATCTTTACTGAACATGTACACACTTTTGTCTTCCCTAAACAACTTAGTATAAGAACAATTTGCATATCATTTACATTGCATTAGGTATTATAAGTAATCTAGAGATGATTTAACTTCCACAGGTCATGGCTGGGAAAGTAGCTCAGTGGTACAGCATTTGCCTAGCATGTGTGAGGTCCTGGGTTGCATGCCCAACATAACAAGAAACAGAAGAGAAAGAAACAACAAAGTCTACAGGAAGATGTGCATAGGATATCTGCACATAAATGCCATTTTATATATGGAACTTGAACATCCAAAGATTTTGGTAACTGTGGGAAGCCTGGAATCCATCCCCCAAAGATATTGAAGGTCAACTCTGGGTGAGAAGGATATAAAACATCTTACAGTATCTAAGCACCGATGGTTCAGCTGGATCTCAAAAAGACTCAGAAAAGACTAGATCCAAGAACCAGAGTGGCATCGTGGAATGGAGCAGCTGCTCTTCTCCTGTCACTCTTCTCTACCCTCCCTCAGGCTCACGGGCTCTTCTCTGTTTCTCCCTTGATGAGTCCAGTTTCATTCAGATGTCCATCCTTGGTCTCCAATCAAGTGGGTGGTCACCCCTGCTGAAACTGTCTGACCCCCAACTCCCACCATAGCTCATTGAATCAGGAATGGACATTCTACACAGGTGTTCTGAAAAGAGTTGTTTTTCACACTTGTCTTCACCCTACCTTCCATCACCTGCCAGTTTCTCCTTGAACACAAACTGCCCTCATGCCATCTTATCCCTGTCCTGTTTCTTTGTTGCACTGTGGCTTAGCAGGCTTGCATTTATTCAGCACATCCCTATCAAGGCCCCGGGAGAGACTGGTGGGGGACAAGTGCCATATGCAATCTCACGTGGCTTGCCTTCCAGCAGGGAAAACAGACACAAAAGAGCTGGTGGATGTGTTATCTCTGATCACAACTCTTCCCACTTTTGTTCCAAATTATATTCAGAATGGTCTATTTAAGATGGAAGGCGAGGGGTGAGGGGAGAAGGAAATGTGTGATAAACTCTCCTCCCATGTATACACAGAATGCTTCAAGTTTTAAAAACCAGTCAGTAATAATCACATAACTAGACTGGCTGTGTGTTCCAGATACCTGGGGTTTCTCCATGGGAGAGCTCTTCTCTCCCCTGGGGCCTGAGGGAAAATCCTCAGATGGGCCCCCTTTACTGAGCAGAGCCACCACTCAGATCCTTGTGGCAGGAAGCCACACCACCATTCAAGCAGACAGAGGGCCTTCTATGCAAGGAAAATGCCCCTCCACCCATCTCATGTAGACCCCTGCCCCTCACAGCAATGGAACCCACTGCTGGCCCTTGGGAGGGTTAGCGACTGTGGAGAACAGATCTAAGAGAAGTTGCTCCACTGCAAGAGGGTTTCTTTGGTGGTGTTTTTCCTTTCATTTTTTTCTTCTTTTGCCATATTGGGGGAGTCCCTTTTCTTTTACCAATTAATTCACAAAATATTTCAAATATACTAAAAATAACAAAGCAGACATGCTCATGTACCCACATGCAGTAAATCCACTATGATGATTAAACAGATGTGAATATTTGGACTCTTTTTCTCAGTGTTTTCCCATAGTGCATTCCCTTTCTTAAAGAAATAAAATGCCCTAATGCAACTACAGATGTCCCCACGTCTTCCCATATCCCACGCAGAGACAACCCGCACATATCTGTAATTTTTGCTGAATGTGTAACATTCATAAATAATGTATGCTATTGTCTTGTGTTTTTAAAATATGTATATACATAGTACTCTGTACATTGCATTTTGCAAATTGCCTTTTCCATTCCACGTTATGTTGTTGAGATTTAGCAACGTTGTTGCCTATAAATATTGTTTATTATTTTTACTGCTGTGCAGTATTTTGTTGTTTGTAGGAATCCAGTTTCATCCATTCTCCTGCTGAAAAACACTGTTACGTAGTTCTCACATTTTTACTATTGCAATTATTGCTTCAATGAACATCTTCATACATGTTATCTTAGGCATGTTATGAGGAGTTTCTGGAGGTTGGACAGCTAGATATGAAATTCCTGTGTGGCCACTAACTTTCTAGACAATTTCTGGCAATTGACAACTCTTCTGCTGGCACTTGCTCAACCTTGAGATGGGACCCATTTATGGCTTGGTGGACCCTTCATAAAGAAAATATAAGAACTTAGAATTTTAAAATGAGAGTTCTGAAAAATACTTCTAATACCTAAAAGAAAAAAAAAAGTCCTTCATAAATGCAAAGCTTAGCCAGTGGTGATATGATGAAATTGTCAAGTTTTAGCATGTTCTTTACTCAAAAGATGACTGACCTGGCCCCTTTCATCTTTGTGCCCTTGGGACCCTCATTTCACAAAAGTCATCCAATCTGGATCTCTTTCTCCAACCAATCCCCAATACCACTGGATTTCTCTCACCCTTGCCCCAAGCTCTTTGGAGCCCAGACCATGTCTGGATCTTATTGGGGCCCAGATCTCTGCAGCTGGCCCAGTGCCTTTCCTGTCTGCTTGGGAGCATCTTGGGCTGTTGCTAGGACTGGCATGAAACTGGGTAGGGAAGGCACTTATATACCAGTTTGCAGATTTGCTTTTTCCTTCCTTCCTTTCTTCCCTCCTTCCTTCCTTGGGAACTGCTGATACATTCCTACATTTAGAAATAAAAAATTTAGACTATTTTGTATGGTGGTCAGCCAGCACTTTGGGCAGCTCAGCAATGTCTGTGTAAGTTCAGACTGGACCTTATGGCAAAAGATCTGAGGCAGAAAATAGAAGTCTTATTTAGGGGGAATTCCCTGTCTTTTAAGCCAGCAACATGGAGAACTGGAAGCACACGTTATACTTTGTAAATGTGTGCTGCTGCCAATCCTCACTTGACCCTGAGTGTGTCCCCAGCCACACCCTCCAGAGCAGCTTTAACTTCTTAGAGACCCCTATGCCCAGGGGATAAGGTGCACATCTGGAGACCCAGCTCCAGGTCCCTTTCATGGGCTCAGCCACCCAGAAAACAAACAAAGAGTCAAGCCAGGGTAGCCAAATACCCAGGAAACACAGTAGGAGTTGGTGGTTAGTTGAGGGAACTTTCCTTGGATTCAGGAGGGCCTGATGTGAGGCTCAACAGTTGAAGAGAGTGGCTGGAAATCCTTATTTGGCAAAAAGTTCTGCAAAGCACGGTGGTTCAAGGAGTAAATTCTCTGAGCACTAGTTTTGGAGTGGGCTATGCTTGGAGTCCACCTCTACCCTGCTACTCACTGGCTCTTAGACTGACCACCTAACTTTTCTGAGTCTGAGCCCTCACCTATGAGATGGGTGAAGGTACCTCTCTCATAGAATTGTGGTGAGCCCAGGACTAGATGCCAAGAAGGTCCATATGAGCTTTCTCCTCCATTAAAACTGCTGTGGACTCAGGTATTTGGTCCCCATGCACATTTTCTATAAAGTCATCTATAGAAATTGCTCTTCTGATATGCCCAAGTCACCTCAGACACCTCTGAGCCAAGTGTGTAGAAGAATAGGGTGTCTTAAAGGTGAAGTCTCCAGAGCCAGATTCCTATGTTAAAATTCCCATTTAACCATGGGCTAGCTGTGGGCCCTTAGGGAAGTTTCCTCTTTTGTAAACCAGGAGTGAAAGTAGCTGCACCAACCTTGGTCAGTTGTTGAGAATTCAATGAGTTCATTCCTACACCTGGCACATAGTTAGTACTGAGTAATAACATTGAAATATTGACATATCAGTAGCTGTTGATATAATAATCAGCCCATTCATGTCTTAGGGACCACGTGTATATGACTGAGACACTGGTGTCACAAAGGTGAGTCAGTCCATACCTACAAGGAGCTCCTGGTTCCTGTGGATAAAGGGGCCAATAAATAGGCAGCCAATGGCAAGTCAGGGTTGTGAAATGGAAACCCAGGGTGCTAGCCAACCTAGAGGAGAGATGGGGAGAGATGGGGAAAGCTTGGGAGACTCTGCATCTGGAGAGACAGGGAGAAGTCCTGTGAATAAGACAAAGTTCTGCATTAAGAGAGCTGACGCTTATATCCCATTATTGCGTGCCCCACACTTCTCTACGTGCATCATGTATGTTATCTAGGGAGTGCACATACTACTAAATTTTACATTACACTAATAGGTTCACAGACAAATCTAGTTTTTCACAGCTCAGAGATGGCTGTAGACCATCTGGTTCTAATATTGCCATGTCTCCCCCTGGAAGAAATGCCAGCAAGCGCGGACATTCTGGCGACCGATTCCGGGAGCCACAAGTGAGTTATCCTTGCTGGAGCATGGCGTCGACCAATGCAGACAGACTAAAGTCAGCTTGTGATAGCTGCGGGGCAGGAATTCCATTCTGCAGGATTGTGCGCTGGGCAGAGGTTGTCCTGGAGACTTAAAACAGCAAGATGGGATTAAGGAAAGCTGTTGCAAGACCTGAGACCAGAGATGACAGTAACCTGGGATGTTGCGGGGGCAGGGGTCTGCTGGAAAGGGGATGGCTTCCTGCAGAGTGGGTCTTCGAGGCCAAAGAGGCGGGCGTGGGGCGTGCGGTCACAGGCGTCCGGGCCGGCCAATCGCTGGGCAGCGGCTCCTCCCGCGGGGCGGGGGCCTGGTGGGCAGGCGGGGCGCCAGCTCGCTCCAGTACCATTGCTGCCGCATCCCCGCTGCGTGTCCGCACCAACCTCCTGGCAGCCGCACCACTCCGGCTCACGCAGCTCAGTGGCGGCCTCCCGGCCCCGCGCAAACAGATCCAGCCTCCA